AAGATTTCATTTGGAAAATTGCCATTTTGGGAGCTCGGGTACACCCCCCCCCATCCCCGACAGAGCCGTTTTGCGTCGGGAGGGGGGTCCAGATGGAGTTTCACCCTGAAACGGTTCCGGGGTGAAAATCCATCTGGAACCTCCCGACGCTGCGCGGGGAGGGGCCCAGCCGCGGAAACAAGCTCACCAATAAGAGCTTTTCATTGGAAAAAGGCCATACCCCCCCATCCCCGACAGAGCCGTTTTGCGTCGGAGGGGGTCCGGAGCGGATTTTCACCATGGAACGGTTTCCGGGTGAAAATCAATCTGCAACCTCACGACGCTGCAGGGAGGGCCCAGCAGCGAAAAAAAAGCTCCCAATAAGAGATTTCATCCGGAAAATTCAATTTGGGAGCTCGGGATACACCCCCTCCCATCCCCGACGGAGCCGTTTTGCGTCGGGAGGGGGTTCAAGATGGATTTTCACCCTGGAACGGTTCCGGGGTGAAAATCCATCTGGAACCTCCCGACGCTGCGCGGGAGGGCCCAGCCGTGAAAAACAAGCTCCCCAATAAGAGATTTCATTTGGAACATTGCCATTTTGGGAGCTCGGGTACACTCCCCCCATCCCCGACAAAGCCGTTTTTCGTTGGGAGGGGGTTCCAGATGGATTTTCACCCTGGAACGGTTCCGGGGTGAAAATCCATCTGGGACCTCCCGACCCTGCGCGGGAGGGCCCAGCCGCGAAAAGCAAGCTCCCCAATAAGAGATCTCATTTGGAAAATGGCAATTTTGGGAGCTCGGGTACACCCCCCCTCTCCATCCCCGACAGAGCCGCTTTGCGTCGGAAGGGGGTTCCAGATGGATTTTCACACTGGAACGGTTCCGGGGTGAAAATCCATGTGGAACCTCCCGACGCGCCGCGCCTGTCTAGAAGCCGCGGGAAAACAACCTTCAATAAGAGAATTTCATTTGGAACATGGCCATTTTGGGAGCTCGGGTACACCCCCCCCATCCCCAACAGAGCCGCTTTTGCGTCGGGAGGGGTTCCAGATGGATTTTCACCCTGGAACGGTTCCGGGGTGAAAATCCATCTGGAACCTCTGACGCTGCGCGGGAGGGCCCAGCCGCGAAAAACGAGCCCCTCAATAAGAGATTTCATTTGGAAAATTGCCATTTTGGGAGCTCGGGCACACTCCCCATCTCCGACAGAGCCGTTTTGCGTCGGGAGGGGGGTTCCAGATGGATTTTCACCCTGGAACGGTTCCGGGGTGAAAATCCATTTGGAACCTCCCGACGCTGCGCGGGAGGGCCCAGCCGCGAAAAACAAGCTCCCCAATAAGAGATTTCATTTGGAAAATGGCCATTTTGGGAGCTCGGGTACACTCCCCCATCCCCGACAGAGCCGTTTTGCGTCGGGAGGGGGTTCCAGATGGATTTTCACCCTGGAACGGTTCCGGGGTGAAAATCCATCTGGGACCTCCCGACGCTGCGCGGGAGGGCCCAGCCGCGAAAAACAAGCTCTCCAATAAGAGATTTCATTTGGAAAATTGCCATTTTGGGAGCTCGGGTACACCAACCCCCTTCCCCAAGATGCGCCCGCAAGGCTCCCGAGAGCGCCCAGATGGAAAATCGCCCGCTTCAGGTTCTAATTTTCACCCCGGAACCGTTCCAGGGTGATTCTGGAACCTGAAACGGGTCGATGCCAGGGTGGTATTATTGTGAAGGCCTTACGGCGGGTGCCGCCGACCCTGAATGGCGACGACGACGACGACGACGACGACGAGCGCTCTTGGGGGCCTCTTGGGGGTAGTTTGTGGGCCTCTTGGGAAGCTCTGAGGGGCCGCTTGGAAGCCTCGTGGGGGCATCTTGGGGCTTCCTGGGGGTCTCTTAGAGGGAGCCTGGGACTTCTTGGAGGCTTCTTGGGCGGTCTTGGGGCTATCTTGGGCGTTTTCGGCCGATCTTTGGGCGACTCGGGGCCCTCTTGGGCCGTCTCGGGGGCCATCTTGGGTATTCGGACCTCATTTGGAGTGTTTTCGAGGTTTCTAGGCCGCCCGAGGAAAAACGAATCTGCCCCCCCCCCCCGGGACCCCCCCCGGGACCCCCCCCCCTCTGGGGAAGGGATCAAAGGGAAGGGGCTTCCCTTCGACTCGATTACGACACTGCTAGATTTTTCCCTCGTTCACGAGCTTGAGAAGGAAGCTGCAGGGAAAGGGGACGACGGAGGCGACGACCGACGGAGACGACGACTCGAACAGCCAAGCCCCTCGCACACGCCGACAGGGTCGGCTGATTTCCCTTCCTCTTCCCCCATGAGAGAGGAGGGGGTTCACCCCTTCCCTTCCTCTCTGTAGAGGGGATGCTGATGATGATGACGAGGAGGAGGAGGAGGAGGAGGAGGAGGAGGAGGAGGAGGAGGAAGAGGAGGGGGAGGAGGAGGAGGAGGAGGAGGAGGAGGAGGGGGAGGAGGAGGAGGAGGAGGAGGAGGAGGAGGAGAAGGAGGACGGTCTTTCCTTACTCCACCTCTCAGGAACGAGGTGGAGGAGGAGTATCCCTCTTTTCCTCTACCCACAGGAAGGAGGAGAACGACGAGGAGGAACAGGAAGAAGAGGAGGTAGTGGACGAGAAGAAGGAGGAGGTTCCGTCCCTCCCCTCTCCCTCATGAAGGAGGAGGAAATTCCTCCCTACCCCCTCAGGAAGGAAAAGGAGGAGGCCCATTCCCTTCCCTTTCCATTAGGGAGGAGGATGAGATTCCTTTCCTTCCTTTTCCACCATGCAGGAGGAGGAGGTTCACCCCCTTCCCTTTCCCCTCTGTAAGGATGATAATAACAATAGTAATAATGATGATGATGATGATGATGATGATGATGATGATGATGATGATGATGATGATGATGATGATGATGATGATGATGATGATGATGATGATGATGATGATGATGATGGTGATGGTGATGGTGATGATGATGATGATGACGAGGAGGAGGAGGAGGAGGAAGAGGAAAACGAGGAGGAGGTGGAGATTCCCTCCCTTTTCCCACAGGGAGGAGGAGGTTCACCCCCTTCCCTTCCCCTCTGTAAGGGGGATGGTGATGAAGAGGATGAGGATGAGGAGGAGGAAGTATGTGATGATGATGATGATGATGATGATGATGATGATGGTGATGGTGATGGTGATGGTGATGAGGAGGAGGAGGAGGAGGAGGAGGAGGAGGAGGAGGAGGGTCCTTCCCTTTTCTCTCCCTAGGAAGGAGGGGGAGGTTCATTCCCTTCCGGTTCCTTCAGGAACGCGGAGGGGGTTCCTTGCATTCTGTTTGCTTCAGGTAGCAAGATGACGATGGTGATGATGTTGATGCTGGTGATGATGATGCTGAGGATGAGGATGATGATGTTGGTGATGATGATGCTGAGGATGATGATGTTTATAAGGATGATGATGCTAATTACGATGATGATGATGATGATGATGATGATGATGAGGATGAGGATGATGATGTTGGTGATGGTGATGATGACGATGATGATGTTTATGAGGATGATGATGCTAATTTTGATGATGATGATGATGATGATGATGATGCTGATGCTGATGCTGATGCTGATGCTGATGCTGATGATGATGATGATGATGATGATGATGATGATGATGATGATGATGATGATGATGATGATGATGGGGAGGAGGAGGATCCTTCCCTTCCTCGTCCCTCGGGAAGGAGGAGGAGGAGGAAGACGAATTGGTTTCTTCGCTGGGCTTCAGAAAGGAGAAGAGGAGGAGGAGGAGGAGGAGGAGGAGGAGGAGGAGGAGGAGGAGGAGGAGGAGGAGCATTCCCTCCCGAAGGAGGTGGAGGAGGAGGACTAGGAGATCCCTTCCCTTCCTTTTCCTTCAGGAAGCAGGAAGAGGACGCAGTCCCTTCCTTTCTCTTTCCCCCAGGAAGGAAGAGTAAGAGGAGGAGAAGGATGAGGAGGAGGAGGAGGAGGAGGAAGATTGTTGAAAGAGTTGTGTTTTAGAATGTTTATGGTTTTGGACGTTAGAGAAAAATATCGCAAGACACACATTCGGAGGTCGGACTGCTGAAAACTCGGTGCTCTGCAATGTTTTTGGTTTCGGATATCTGAACATATGGTAAAACACCGTGTGTTGGACGCCTGGCGATTAAAAGCATGTGCTTTACAATGTTTTTGGTTCCTTATTTTAGGAAATATTATATTAAAACAGTGTTTAGGAGGTTTGGCCGCCGAAAAGTTTATAATTTACGCGATGCTTTTTTGTTCTCTGGTATCAAAGAACATTGTAGCACATTGTGTTTTTGGGCGCATGTCTGCTGAAGCAATGTGTCGCACAATGTTTCCGTTTTGGAAGTTAGAACTATATATAAAGCCCCGTGTTCGGGAGGACGGACCTACCCGTCAGAGAGCCACGACAAGTTCTGCCCCTCCCAAAAGAAATGACAATTGGATCAGGGCCGATGTTTGTTGGTTCCCCCTTCAAAAAAACAAATCGACCGCCGTTGGATTATAATGTGTTGTTCGTTCATGTTTTGTAGGGAGGTCGATTTGTTGTTGGGATTTCTTCGGAATCAAGGGGAGAGAGAGATGAGAAAAGGAGAGAAAGCGATATATATATATATATATATATATGCATATATATATATATAAAGAGAGAGAGAGAGAGAGAGAGAGACCTCGAGAGAAAGAGAGAGAGAGAGAGAGAAAGACGAGACAGAAACACACAATGAAGAAAGAAAGCCTTCAAAAGGAAAGACGAGACAGAGACGGAAAGAGAGAGAGAGAGAGATACAGAGAAACAGACAGCAGACAGACGCTTCCAAGCCGCTCCGAAATCGCCTCTCCAGAAGTGACCGTTCTCTCCTCCTCCTCCTCCTCCTCCTCCCCCCTTTCCTCCTCCTCCTCCTCCTCCTCCTCCTCCTCCTCCTTCCCCTCGCAACCCTCCTCCAGCTGCTGCTTCTCCTCCCCTGCCGCTCCTGCTCTTCCTGCGCGGCCGCGCGCCCTGCGCGCGCAGCGCCGCCCCCCTGGCCCGGACCCCTGGCAGCTCCCCGCGCGCGCCCCCCCGAGCCCCTCTGGGTCCGGCGCCGCCCGCCATGTACAGCCCCGTGGCCAGCGGGCCCATGATGAGCGCGCGCGGGCCCATGATGAGCGCCCGCGGGCCCATGATGAGCGCCCGCGGGCCCATGATGAGCGCCCGCGGCTTCCCCGGCGGCGGCTTCGGCGGCGGCGGCGCCGAGGCGGGCTGCGGGCCCTCCGCCTGCGCCTGCGGCCGCGGGTGCGGCGGCGGCTGCAGCTGCGGCGGGGGCGGCGTCGGAGGCTGGACGTACGGCGTCGTCCCGGAGGCCGCGAGAGGGGGGGGGGGGGAAGGAGGAGGAGGAGGAGGAGGAGGAGGAGGAGGAGGAGGAGGAGGAGGAGGAGGAGGAAGTGGACGCAGGCGGACACACGGGGGGGAGGCCGTGGAGCAGAGAGCGGCGCCATCCGTCCTCGGGAGCCTGTAGCTTCTTCGCCCGAACCTGAGCAGGCACATGACGGTTGGCACGTCCTGGGGAGGGGGGAGCGAGGAGGAGGAGGAGGAGGAGGAGGAGGAGGAGGAGCAGGAGGAGGAGGAGGAGGGGGAGGAGGCTAGACGTACGGCGTCGTCACAGAGGCCGCGAGGAGAGGGGGCGGAGACGGTGCGACACCGTTGGATAGGAAAGGTGCTTCTCGCCAGCCTTGCTCGACGATGAGGCCATTCGGAGGCGTTGGAGCACCCGTGCTGCACGGGTGCTCCAACGCCTCCGAGCATTGGACGCCGCGGAACAGGCAGCGGCACCATCCGTCTTCGGGAGCCCGTTGCTTTTTCGCCTGAGCTTACAAGACACATTGCGACTGGTAGCTCCTGGGGCGGGGAGAAGAAGAGGGGGAGGAGGGGGAGGAGGAGGAGGAGGAGGAGGAGGAGGAGGAGGAGGAGGAGGAGGAGGAGGAGGACCAGTGCAAACCCAAGACTCATCGACGATGTTGGAGTACACCCTCCCTCCAAGCTCCCTGTTCACTGGCCCCTGCAAGAGTTCATTTCCACTGTGGGAACTGCCTCGCTGGGAAACCACAGTTTCAAGACCCTGAAGCGTGTCAAAACACCATTCTCGGGACTCCAGCGCCACGAATCAACTTGAATGTTGCGTCTTGACGATCCTGAGTCGTGCCAGAACAAAGTTCTCTGGACTTCAACCCCGCGAATCAGACTAACTACTGACTGTTGCGCCCTAACAGTCCTGAATCACTAACCATGGGAAGCCGTAAAATCCTTGTACATGTTCAAAACGACTGCGCGCGGCTCTAAGGCGAGATCCACATTTGAACACCACTCGCCCGCCATCTGCGCAACTGCTGCCAACTTCTAAGCTTCAGGATCATAAATGTAGGGGAAGTCTCCGACGGAGCGCCTGGCCCGCCCTTTCGACCTGCCTCAGGGTGCGACAGGGAGGAGTTATCTATAAGGAACTGGAATGGATGATGAGGAGGAGGCGGAGGAGGAGGAGGAGGAAGAGGAGCGGAAGGGGGAGGGGGAGCAGGAGGAGGAGGAGGAGGAGGAAGAGGATGAGTTTTTAACTGCGACCTTCTAGGTACCTTTCTGTCGGAGGACCGCGTGGGCCCAGACTGTTCCTTACGAGCGAGGTCAGTCCGAGCTCCCTGAACTGGCACGGTCCAGCCTGGGGGCCGACCTGCGCGTGCTTTTCTTTGGGAGGGCGGCAGACAGGCTCCGTTTGGTCCTCCCCCGAAGTCGAGGCGACAGGAGCCGATCCAGCGGGGGGCACTCCCGATCCAGCAGCGCCCGCGGCGGACCCCTGGAGGGGGGGGGGGCCAGTGCCACAACAAGGGGCCGCCCACTGCGAGGGAAAAAGCATGGCATTCTATGCAGCCTTCGGGAGCCTCGATCTGCTCCGAAGCCCTCTGGGTGGGCTGCGGGGTGGAGGCGGGCACCTCTCTTCGCGGCATCCTCGGCACAGAAGGTGTCTTGCCTCCGAAACTTACCAGCCTCGAACTTATCCCTATCCCTAAGATTGACACGCCCAAAGGCGATGACAATCTTAGGGATGCCCCCTGAACAACCAAGGGAATCCCTAAGATTGGCATCGTGATGAGGAGATGCCCAGCATAGGGATAGGGATATGTTCCATGCTGGTAAGTCTTGCCTCCGAAACCTTTCTTTTCAGGGCTGGCCCCCTCCTCTTGCGAACTGAGCTGCGCCGAGACTTTCTGAGCTTCTTTGGTCCGGGAGCCAGCTGTAAGTCGGGCGTGTCCCTCTACGGGGGGATACTTAAAAATAGTCCAGAAATAGTCCAGGGACGATTGTTGGGGTATTTTGGGACTATGTTTGCATATGTTATTTTATGATTTTTAATTGTTCGCCCAGCATCCTCCTGTAGGAGGACAGGCCCGACCTCAAGCCAGCTTCAGAAAAGGCATCCAGGACATAGCCAGCGCAGAGCCCGTGCCCCGAGACCCTGTCCAAACAGCCCCGAGACGCAGCAGGAACAATCGGGGGTGGACAGACCTCCTACCCTGACACGTCGATTAGTGAATTGTCCGTTTTCGGTTGCCCAGAGGGCGCCGCGGCCGTCATTTTTCAGGCTTGCGCCCGCCAGGTTTGGGCCCGAGGTCGTTTTCACTAAACCACGTTTTAGTAAAGGGAGGTCTGTCCATCCCCGAAACAACTGACGCACAGTCGGAGTAACAGCGCTTGCATTACGAATCGAGGCAGTTTGCCCTGCGTCTTCTGGCATTCTTCGTTCCCTCTGCACGTGCTCCGCCAGTTGGCGCGGCAGCGCGGGCATTCGAGGCAGTTTCTGCCCCGTCCTCTGTCATTCCTCGCCCCTCCCACACTTACTCGGCCAGACACGCCCCCCACCCAAAAAAAAAAATGGATGCCCCGCCGAGAATGACTCCCGCGGAAGCAAGACTCGAACATCCTCCACTCTGTAAAGTTTGGGGCAGCCGAGCCCACACAGGCCCGCCGACCCGGGACAGCAGGGGACCGTGCTCCGAGACCCGAATGGAGGCCCACCCCGCCCTAGACAGCTCCCTGATCTTGGATTGAAAGCAGCTGCCACGTAGAAACATGTGGCCAGGGAGTTGTCGGAGGTCGGGATCCCCACCCTCGAAGAAGTTCCCCCTGGCGCCATCCGTTCCGTCCTGGGGAACGGGCCTCGGGGCCAGGTCTTCAGGGTGCGGGAGCGCTCCGGCAGCGAAGCTGATGAGCTCATCACTGGGGTCCCCTCGGAGCCTCCCGAGTCCACCCCGAGATCTCGGCATCCACCAGCTGTTCACTCAGGCCTCGCACGCCCACGAGCGGTGGAACGCGCTAACCTCAGTCTGGCACGGCGCGCAGAACTTGGGATCCTGGTAGGCAGCCTTCCTAGCTCTGGAGTTGGTCCAGATGGCATTTGCAAACCAGCGCCCCAGGGGAACGCTTCTTCAAGCGCAAAGCCACCGAGATGCTACTTATCGAAACACAGCCCACCCGACCCCTGGAGCTGAGGAGGACCCCGATCGGGGGCCAATTCTTCAGAAGCCGGGAGCGCCGAGCCCGCGGCAGCATCTAACGAGGCATCAGGGACAGGAAGCGTGGCGCAGAATAAGTTTCCTTCCATCGGCTTAAAAGAGGCATCTCGCTCCAAGGACCTGAGCACCGCCTCGTGTAACAGCTTGTTGCAGAGATTCGGGGGCAACTCAGTCGCCGAGAGCTTGCGCCCACGATCATCAGAAGAGGTAGCATGATTGCACGTATCCCGCCCGATTCTCAAATTCATAAGCATCGCATTAGTTGGCCCAGAACCGAACTTGCGGACGCGAGGGCTTGCCTGCTTCGAAGAACCGCCCTCCAGGACTCCCGAGTGAGGGGCCGAAGTCCCAGGGCTTTTTTTGTGTTTTGAGAAGCCATGCTCCCTGGCGACATCTGAGCATGGGGGCCACCGCCACGTGCCGAGTGGGGTCAGCCTTGAGCAGGGAGGGGACGGCCAGCGACCTCCTGGCAACACTAGGCTCGATGACCGAGGCGGCCGCGCGCCTCGAAGACAGACAGCATCTCCCTCCTCCTCATCCTCCTCCTCCTCCTCCTCCTCCTCCTCCCTCCTCCCTCCTCCTCCCTCCTCCCTCCTCCCTCCTTCCTCTTCCCTCCTCCCTCCTCCTCCCTCCTCCTCCCCCTCCTCCTCCTCCTCCTCCTCCTCCTCCTCCCCCCTTTCCTCCCCTCCTCCTCCTCCTCCTCGTCCTCCTTCTCCTCCTTCTCCTTCTCCTCCTCTCCTCCTCCTCCTCCTCCTCCTTCTCCTCTCCTCGTCCTCCCCGCCCCCATGCGCGCAGCCAGGCACGGGCCCAGAGCAGAGGACGCGAATGGCGCTGCGCTCAAAATGAGACTTGACCTGGCGCAACCTCCGGGTCTTCCTTCTGAGCCCTTCCTTTCTGCACGAACGAGATGGGCACGGAAAGAATTGGTACAATGCTCAACAGCAGTTCCTGCTCATTTTGAACAGGATTCGCTGTCCGCGCCGCCGCGGCCTGTGTCCATTGGAGACAGGAGGCCGCCTGCCCACCAGCGCCCGCTGTTGGCTTGGGACAACATTTGTTGTTGGGCATTGTACCCATTTTTTCGTACCCATTTCGGGCGTCCAAGTCCTTCCTGTTCTCACGCTTGTCCATCCTGCTCTTTCTCATGCGGAAGGGCGCTCACGCCGCGTCATCGCATCCTAAGTGAACTGAAGAGTTCTTAAGTTTGCCAAATTGCCCGGGGAGATGCTCGAGCTCCTCACCTAAAGCATGACGCGAGCAGGCAAGGGCAACTTTGCCAAGCGCAGTTTTGCCTCCAAGCAGCACCCCGATGGCAAACGGGAGAGAGCTAGCCATGTCCATGGCCGTCTTGGCATCAAAGCTTGTTTTGACTATGGCAGAGATGCAAGTTCCGTCGATGTAGGCGTCGAACCAGGAACATTCCCCCGCGCATCTATGAATCCTATGGAAGCCCATTGCCCTGGGAACCGAATCAAAGGCATCATGGTCACTAACACTGAACGAGGCGCACAGGGCAGGCAAACGCAGACCGCCGAGGCACACGAAGCGGGCAAGGCGGCACGACGGCAGGCAGACATTAAGATGATGGGCCTGTTTTCCACCAACACCACCACCATAAGTTCGAGGGGGGTGGTCCTCCTCCTCCTCCTCTTCGTCGTCCTCCTCCTCGTACTCCTCCTCTTCGTCCTCCTCCTCCTCCTCCTCCTCCTCCTCCTCCTCCCTCCTCCTCTTTCCCCCCAGCCAACTTATGGCGGTTGCAGTGGGAAAGCAGGCCCACCATAGGCGCTCCTCTGGGGAAGCC